GGCGACCGCCTCCCTGTTTACTTCCCCAGCGTTTGGCAGCCGGAGGATCCCTCTCCCGATTTTCCCTGAAGTAGAATCACACGTAGTTGGGGGAATTGGGTAGTGGATTGCGTTTCAAGCGCTGCTGCTGCCGACCTCTGGCAAGTCTTTGCACATTCTGACACCAGATTTCCTATGTGGGAGCGATCGAGTTTCATCTGTCTGAAGGTAGATGCAGGACCAGCTGGTGTCTGTAGGAAAAACATTGGGAGAGCTGGACTCAGCAGTCAAGAGATGGTCCCTGCTCCCGGTGTGGAGCCCTAGAGGAGTGGGGCAGTGAAGCCCAGTGCTCTTCAACCAAGGATAGTGGGGAGCAGTGCCCTGCGAAGCAGCAAGGTCCTGGGAGCTCTCCCACGCAGTACCCAGCTTCTCCAGAAGCTCCTGTTTTGCAAGGGGACTCCCCGGGGGGACTTCCTCCCCTCTGGTCTGGGCAGCTCCCAGGGCTGGGAGTGGGGAGGCTCTCCCCACCTGCCTCAGAACTGCGGACATCCATCTCTGCAGGCCCTGTGCCCTTGGGCATGGGGACCCCGGGGTCTCATCGCATGGGTCACCAGCAAGCCTGGGAGGAGGAACCAGCCCTGCAGCAGCCATTCCCTGTAAAAAAGCAATCATGTGGAAAACAGCAGCTAATGAAGAGGTCTGTCTTCTGCACAAAGAGGGAATGGGTAAAACAGAACCTACGCTTGGGTGAAGGAATTGTTTTTGTTGTAAAATCTCCTTCGTAACAGCTCCTAAGTGAAAACCAACCCCAAAGCATGCAGACGCTGCTGGAAACAACAACCCTTTCCACTCACTAACAGTTCTCCCTGCCATCAGTCCAGGGTGGGACGACACAGGCTGCAATACAAAGACCATGGCATCTCAAAGGAACATAAGGACTGCTCTATAACATACCTGAGACCAGGCACTGTAATGGTCTTTTCAGCCTTGGAAAAAAAAAAAGAAGGGGGGTGGGGGGGAAACAAACCACAATCTATAAAACTTGCTCAATAAATTATATTACTGTGAAGTTAATGATCAGGATTGTTGATTTGCTGCTGCTGGTGCCTCTCACAACCAGAGCTGGTCCCTTGAGAAGGTCTATGCTCAGGACAACCCCGGCATTCAGTGACTTGAACCTAAAACTGATCAACACCTAATCCTGGCAACCCAGGGAAGCGTACGGAAGGCTTTGGCCATGGCAGCTTTCCCTGCCCAGCATCTCAAGTACAGCCATTTGCACCCCAACCTCTTGGGAGGTGCTGCAAAAGCACTCTGGCAGCGCTGTCGAGGAAAGCCAGCTTTTCCAGGGCGAGAACCTGCTGCCTGTGCTCAGCTGCCTGGGGTGGGCCTGGTGTCCCTTTGGTACCGAAGGATGAGTCCGAGGCAGGCACAAGACACAAACGGTCCAGGGTCAGGGGCACTAACCTTGCCACCTCATTTTCCACGGATCTGGGTCAGCTGGAAAAATGTTTGCGCCTGTCTGAAGCAGCTGGCATGGTGGTAACAACAGCACTTCTCGGAGCGGTATGCTGGTGCCTGCACTGAGGAGAATTCAATGCTATTTGGAAACTCTCCCTAAGGACCTGCTGCTGAAGGAGATCTGGCAACCCAGCAAGGACAGGGTTCAGGAGGGTGTAGCAGCAGCTCCCAAATTTGGCAGCCCTAAGCAGTTCTTTAATACAGTAGGGTTGCCGTGAAACCTTCATCCTACCAGCACCCATTTTCCAAGGCCCTCTGCCCAACTTCAAAGCCAGGCTTTGCCTCTAGCAAGCAACTGCAAAACTAACTTCTCTTGCTCAGACCTGGTGCCAGCAGGGATTTGGAGTCCTGACACGCTGCTGCGGCACCAAGGTCCTTATGTGGGTGGCAGCAGCAAAGGCAAGATGGGGCTGGGAGAGAAAGCCAGAGGTGCTGGCCGG